AGCCACTGCACTCCAGTCTGGGCGACAGAGTGAGATTCCAACTCAGAAAAAAAAAAAAAAAGATTTGGACTATTCCAGGCTTGACATGGTGGCTCACGCCTGTAATCCCAGCACTTTAGGAGGCGGAGGTGAGAGGATTGCCTGAGCCCAGGGGTTCGAGACCAGCCTGGGCAACTTGGCGAGACCATGTCTCTACAATAAATCAGAAAATTAGCCAGGCGTGGTGGCGCCCACCTGCAGCTCTACCTACTTAGAGGGCTGAGGTGGAAGGATCACCTGAGCCCAGCAGGTCAAGGCTGTGGTGGCCATGAGCGTGCCACTGCACTCCGGTCTGGGCAGCAGAGGGAGACTCTGACTCAAAAAAAAAAAAAAATGAAAAAGAATTGTACTGTTCTAGATACTACACGTAAGTGGAATCATGCAGCATTCGTCCCTCTGTGTCTATTTCCTCAGCATGATGTTGTCAAGACTTCGCCAGGTTGTAGCAGATGTCTGCATGTCATTCCTTTTCAAGGCTGAGTAACATCCTGTTGTATGGTAGACCACATTTTGTTTATTCATTCATCTGTTGATGGATGCTTGGGCTGCTTCCCTTTTGGCTATTCTGAGTAATGCTATTACGAATGTGGGAATTCAAATCTCTTTTTTTCAAGAGCTTCAAGTCTCACTCTGTTGCCCAGGCTGGAGTGCAGTAGCACGCTCACAGCCATTGCAGCCTCAACCTGCTGGGCTCAGGTGATCCTTCTACCTCAGCCTTCCCAGTAGCCGGAACCACAGGCATGCACCACAATGTCCAGCAAATTTTTTGTTTTGTTTTGAGTTGGAGGCTCACTTTGTAGCCCAGGTTGGAGTGCCATGGCACACTCACAGCCACCCTAGCATCGTCCCACTGGGATCCAGGGATCCTTCTGCCTCAGCCTTCCAAGAAGCTGGCGCGCACCACCATGCCCGGGAATTTTTTATTTATTGTAGAGACGAGGTCTCACCCAGTTACCCAGGCTGGTCTTGAGCCGTTGGGCTCAGGCAATCCACTCGCCTTGGCCTTCCAAAGTGCTAGGATTACAGGCTGAGCCACCGAGCCTGGCCTCATTTTTTTATTTATTGTAGAGACCAGGTCTTGCCAAGTTGCCCAGTCTGGTCTCGAACCTCTGGGTTCAAGCAATCCTCTCGCCTCTGCCTCCCAGCATGCTGGGATGACGGGCATGAGCCACTGAACCCAGCCAAATCTCTGAGCCTAGACAACACATCGGCTCTCAGGTAGTGGACTGCACCCGAAGGGAAGGGAAATCATCTTTGTCCAGAAACCAGGGATGGCACTTGGCTGGAGCCCTCCCAGTGAGAGCAAAGGAGGAAAAGAGGAATGAAGGTTACAGGGGGTGTGTGTGCTGGAAGTTGACACTTCACCTTCTGGAGTGATTTACACGCGTCAGTCCAAAAAGCAAAGTGTGACAGTTCCAGACACAATCAAGGGGAGCATGGTGGAATCAAACACAAGGCTGTTTTTTTTTTTTTAGGGGAGGTCTCACCCTGTCACCCTGGCTGGAGTGCAGTGGCATAATCATGGCTCACTGCAGCCTTGACCTTCTGGGCTGAAGGGATCCTCCCACCCCAGCCTCTCAAGTAGCTGGGACTACAGGTATGCACCACCACACTGGCTCATCTAAAAGTTTTTCTGTAGAGACAAGTTCTTGCTATGTTGCTCAGACTGGTCTCAAACTCCTGGGCTCAAGCAATCCTCCTGCCTTGGCCTCCCAAAGCGCTGGGATTATAGGCGTGAGCAACCACGTCCAAAGTTGCAGTATAATGACAGGAAAAGCCAAACCAAACTTGGCAACTAAGAGAGAGGAGTGGCCCCTGAGAGCTGGGCTGGCCTGGCCTCACAGCTGGCCTTGGGGCCTCCTGCCTCCCAGCTCACCCATGTCAGGTAAGCTCCCTGTGACCGTGAGGGGAGAGTCAAGGTCAAAAGCAATGCCACTCAGCACCTGTCCTGAGCACTGTCTCTGGGCCAACCCCACAGATGACCGATGTCCCTTGACCTTGAGCCGTGGCTGCATCTCTCCCAAGCACAGCGATTGCGCTGCAATCTAGACACAAAGCCCCCAATCACAGCATCACCAACTCCTGACAGCACGTCTCCAGAGCCAGCCACCACTTCCCCTCATCCCCGAATGCCAGCCGGGTTCTGGGTGCTTCCTGAAGCCGGTTCCTGAGGCCCCCGTGCTGCATGCACGGCCTCCCTCGCCACAGCAAGCACGGTAAGACCAGCTTCGCTGACGAAGGCATGTTGCCGGTGACCGGCCGGCATCCACACGACCTTGGAGGAGTGAAGGCTGGATGATTTCCGGCTGCACAAGATGGAGCCAGTGACTCACAAGCTGGGCTGGAACCTCCCCAGCTCGACACCCCCTCCCCGTCACAGCCACCCTGCAGAGATCAGTACTGTTCCCGGGTTACAGATGAGGACATCAAGGCTCAGAGCTACCAACTGGTGCACACTATGGAGTAGAGGCAGACCCGAGACACGAGCAGTCTGTGTCAGAGTGCCTTCTCCCCGTATTCCCCCTTTCGGGTGCTTCCCCTGTAGTTCCTCTCTGGTGTATTCCTCTCACCTGACCCCAATCTCTGACGCATCCCCCCATCATGCCCTCTCTCCCGGGCATCCCCTCATCTACCCCTTCTCCAGGGCATCCTCCCCATAGCCCCTTCTCCAGTGTGTTCCTCTCACCCACCCCTCCTTTCTGGGGCACCCCTCCACCAAGCCCTCTCTCCGAGGCATGTCACCAAGTGGGCCTGCAGCAGGTGGGTGAGCTCCCAGGCAAGCGGCCCGTGTGCAGAGTGTGCCCTGAGGGTGGCATTCGTTCTCCTGAAGGGATCTGGTAGCCCTAAAGGGGCCCTGCAGCCAACCCTGTTACTGGTGGCCTGTATCCAGGATAGACACTCCCACAAGTGGCTGGTGCAAGACTTACAAGGGACATGAGCTCCCAAATCCACTGCTCTGAGCCCCGGTCTCGATGGAAGGGGTGCGGGTGCTTTCTGGACACTTGTGCCCGGGGAACAGGTGTCAACACCCATGTTCCAGGCCTGCTACTGAAAGCCACGTCTACCTGTGTGAGACTCTAGACAGACACAGCCGAGCTTCTAAAAGTTATGCATTTATTTTCATGTGTAAGAAGAAAAATCTAGCACATCAATGTGTGACTGCGCAGATACACGGCTCAGCACAAGGCTACAGTCAGAAGTGAAAAAGTGCGTTGACTTAAATGAATTTAATAGGATAGGAGACCCTTGGTTATGATAGAAATCGTGCAGGTGGTCTGGGAGTCACAGCTGAGCTCTGGGCTGACACCCCTAAGGTACTTTAAGAGAAGACTCACTAGCGCCAGGTGCCCATGGAAGAGCATGGTCCAGGGAGACCCCAGGGAGGAAGGCACATTTTGTTTAATTTGCCCACGCCCTACAAAATATCTTAGATGTTACAAAGTGGCTAGATGCGGTGGCTCACGCCTGTAATCCCAGTGCTTTGGGAGGTTGAGGAGGGGGGCTGCTTGAGCCCAGGAATTCGTGATCAGCCTGGGCAAAAATTTAAAAATTAGCCAGTCGTGGTGGCGCACACCTCTAGTTCCAGCTACTTGGGAAGCTGGGGTGGAAAGACTGCCTGAGTCCAGGAGGTTGAGGCTATAGTGAAGCCACTGCTCTCCAGCCTGGGTGACAGTGAGACCCCCAACTCAAAAAGAGAAAAGTTACAAAGCAGTAGAAATGATTCTCCCTCAAAGAGAAAAAGAATCTGCTAGGGGTGGCCTTGTGGGGGCAGTGGTTATGGGGCAGCCTGGGCTGGAGGGCCCGAGTGGGGCTTGGGGGGGAACACATGCGGGCTGAAGGGACACTGACCCTGGCACTGTCCTTGAGAAGCGTTTGTGTGTGGCTACGGGTGGGGGGTGTATGTGGGTCCACACTCAGCCACCGCACCTGCTCCCCAGCATACAGCAGGCACTCAGTCCGTGTTTGCTGACTCACTGCAGCACACAGGAGGTGCCAGAAGGTGGGTGGAGGGGCTGCTGATGTCCCCAGTGCTGTGGGTCACCCTCTCCTCCTGGGCCTCCCCACCTGCACTTTAGCGTGTCACTTCCTGGAGCTAAGAAGTCCACGGCTGTGGCACTGCCGGGTCACATTCCTACCCATGTATGAGCCAAGGGGAGTTCTTCAACTCCAAAGAATGTTGTTTCCCGTCACGGACACCTCCACGGTTTCAAAAAGCACTTTTCCCCCCTTTTTTATGAATCAGAGTCTCACTCTGTCATCCAGGCTGGGGTGCAGTCGCACGCTCACAGCCACCGCAGCCTCGACCTGCTGGGCTCAGGGAATCCTTCCGCCTTAGTAGCTGGAACCACAGATACACGCCATCACGCCCGGCTAATTGGTTGATTTATTGTAGAGACGAAGTCTCACTATGTTGCCCAGGCTGGTCTTGAACCCTCGGGCTCAGGCAATCCTCTCGTCTCTGCCTTCCAAAGTGCTGGGATTACAGGTGTGAGTCACCGTGCTCAGCCTCAAAAGGCACTTTTTAAGGGACCATGGAGGTCTTCCTCAAACAGCGCAGTCTGCAAGCCAGAGCTGGGCCCAGTGCCCCTACCAGCCAGCTAGAGCCAGGGTAAGGGACCCACACACCACTGACAAACTTGCCCCAGAGATGGGTTGGGGCCAGCAGGGAACTCTGGGGGTGAGACTCATGGTCCAGGAGCCTTCCAGTACCTGTCACCACACCTGCTCCCCAGCATACAG